AGTGTGTTGGGTCCATGGACCCAGGCATGACATACCTGCCACCCACTGCTAGAGTACCAGTACAGCTCAGACACACAGCTCTCTTCTCCTCACTTACGTCCATCACAATACCAGGCACTGACATGAATGATGCCCAACTCCTTCCCCTTACACCACCACCTGCAACCCTCAATGCAGACTGGATACTCAGAGGATTGCCCTGCACATCTCCACAGAAAAGGGTGTCCCATCATGGGCACAGGCAGCTTGAAATCTAAGAACATCTCAAGAGGCTACTGCAGAAGAAGAACAGCCTCCCTACAACAAAATATTAAAGACAAACAAAGCAAGAGCTTTAAAAGCCCTCTTGCGGCACTGCAACTGGAAGTTCCAAGATGTTCCAGATGGCCTTACACATTCAGGTCTGCATATACATCAGGATGAACCCCGCTTCTGGCCGGTTTGAGGGACACCATAGGCAAATTTTAAAATCTAAGAAAAACCTCATGATTACTTGTAGGTATTTGTGTTCTCTTTCAAAGTGTGTAACTGTAAACCACATGAAACGAAGAAACCAGGGAGCAGGCAGGGCAGACTGTGCAGCTTCAGCTCTAACCACTCTGGGAAACAACTCCTGATCCTTCCAAACTGCCCAGCGGCCCCAGACACTCACAGTCCACGCATGTCAGAGGCTGAGAACAGGCAGTATGTTTCAGATGGTTTTGCCTTCAGTTTTGCTTGTCATACTATGTTTTGAAAACACATTTTTACCTCCTTAAGCAAAAAAAAGAAAAGGGGGGGAGGGAATTAGATACACTACTGCACAGTGATTCTTTGTTCTTGGGGATTCAGTCTGCTTTATGGCTGTGTTCATTAGATATTAGAAAAGGCAGGCCAAATAGTACTAGAAGTCCTCCCCCAAGGTAACATTTACATTTACTTCAAAAGGCCTCCCTGCAGAAGAAAATGAAGGATTTTTTTCAGCCTTTAACTATTTTGTAAGAAATATACTGTACCAAACCACCACAATTTTGGGTTCAGAATGTTTTTGCCTGGTACAAAGGAAGCTAAAAGCAAATCTCTGTGCAGCTGAGATAGCAGAAGGCAGGACCCTGGGACCAGTCTCTCACCTATACTGCTGCACAGAGTAGGGTATGGTTGAGTCAGAATGTTTACTTTGCAGAGAACAGGGAACAGCAGCGCTGGGTTTTGCCTTAAGTTGTAGGGATGCACGCACAGACAAAAACAGTTTTAAAGGAGTTTGCTTTCTATAGGGAGTAGACTTTGGAGATACTTGTGCAGACCTAGAATGTTCATTTTCACTCACCTGTCCACATTACACCAGAAAATTTTCATGTGAGAATTGCACTCATAAGAGTGTCTAGATCTCAACTCAGCACCACCTGGTGCACACACATGGAGCAGACCAGATCCATGCTGAACATGGGATTTCAGGACAATTAGCATCCTACCTGCTTAGAGGAGCATGCAAGGCAAAAACTTCCTGCTTAAAACTGATTTACAAAGTCTTAATAACTTCAGTGAAATCGAAGGTCAGAAATAAGAGGAGAAATAACCATAAAAACTGTTTTAAAAATCCCAGCCTCATAATAGTACTATCCACAAGCTGAATTCAAAATTTTGACATAGTAAGATTAATAGCATACTATTAAAACAATTTTTCCCCCAGTTTTCTTTCACCTTTGGACACAGATAAGCAGCATGACTATGCCAGAGCAAGATGCAGGAGTCTTACATGATGAGCAAAGCACCTAAGTGCAAATAAATGCATTGGTCTTAAATGGAGCCTCATGCTGTACCTTCCTCAAGACATGCTGAACATAATTTCAGTTTAATATTCTGTTTCTCATTATGGGCCTTGGAGACTGTCTTGAGCACCATGAAAAGCAGTATTAACCCAGCCCTCAGCGCTGGGGGCAATCCAGCCAAATTATTCATGCTGGTCTTTTGCTTCGATTTTTGTAGTCTTGACTTAATGTTCTTAAACAAATCTGAGAGGAGGATGGCTGAGTAATAGCATAGACTTTACTTAAGACATTACAAATGGCCATGTTCTGCAACCCTGAGTCATTAGGCTAAAAACCCTCACTGAAGCCAAGGGGAGTTTCATTGGAGCAGGGTGTAAAGGCTGCAGCCCCAATATGGTGCTCAGGGCAATCAGAGCCAAGCACTGATAAGCAAGAACATTGAAAAAAGAAAAAAAAAAAGAAAGGAAAAATAAAGAAAAGAAAAGGAAGGAAAAAAACAAAGAAGGAAAACCAAAGAAAATTTAAAAAAATAATGAAACCCCCACGCTCTCCTTTCCTCTCTTTGCAATCCAGCTCTAAAGATTAGCCTCAAATCCTGATTTCAGATAGGGGAAAGATAAGCAAAGATTTGCAGGTGTTAGCATTTTCCTATAGATCTTCAGGGCAGCACAACTGATTTCAAGATGAAAAACTGGCATGGGTACACTTGGCAGGTAGACAAGACACAGCAACATGAGTGGAGAACCAGTTTCTAACCCCATATACTACACATTACGCTTGCACAGAAACATCAACATGCCCATGAAATACCCCTCATCGTTCCTTAAAAAGATTAATCGTGTTTTCATGTATGAAGAATTGGGTGTAGAGCCTCATGCAAGAGTGGCCAGGTCCCAGGTGCTGTGGGCAGGCACAGCAGGGACAAATGGCGACACCAGAGAAGCCTGACACATCCCAGGCCAACTGGCATCTTCAGCCATTTCATCTCTCCCTACTTCTTCTTCACTACTCACTCTTAACTTTATTTACCAAAAAATAAGACCATTTTTACTCCACAGAATGAATGTGGCCTGGGGCGAATGCCAGGAAAAAGGGTGGAAAAAGCTGCACCTTCCTTATTTATTTTAACAGAACAAGGCAAAACAGTTTGCTGCTAGAAATAAACATTAAACCTTGCAGCAGAGACACACACCCCCCTCCCCAAAAAGCCCACTGCTCCTACCCTCACTCTCTCCTCCTCCTCCTCTACCTCCAACATTGTAAGCAGCACAAAAGATCACATTACAAATGCCAGCTGTGGCTCTTTTGGAAGGTAGCCTCCATCTCGGAGGTAGTCTATGTTCCTCACTGCCTAAGTGGTTGCTATGGTAAATATGCTTTTTATTGAATAGCAGAGTGAAACAGCTTTTAAAGAGACCCATAAGAACCCTATAAATGGTCAAAATAGATCAACTTTAGCCTCCCTGGAAACAGGTTTTTCTTTCTTTTTTTTTTTTCTTTCCAAAATTATTGTGATTCTTGACCTTTTTTTTTTGTATTTGTGTTGTCCACTTGCCTTCACCTTGCCCACACTCAGGTGAAGTGGCTGGAGAGGTTTGGGGGAGCCAGGACTCCAACCAGCTCCTGGCACAATGAGCTACTTTGGCTTTTAAAGGCGAGTGCCTGCTCTCTTGCATGTAGGAGGCTTCCAGGACAGAGGATCTCAACACTGGGAAGCACAGGTGATCTCCAGCAAAGCTACCCACCGAACTCAGCCTGTCTTCCCAAGCTGCACTCAGCTAGGGTAAACCTCCTGCTGCCTTGCCATCACCTCCTGCAAGCCCAACACTGCTCCAGGCCCCAGAACCCCAGGAACGCTCTTGTCCCCTGGCACAGGCTCTTGTGTCCCCTGGCACAGGCACCTGGGCACAGCAGTTAAAAAGGAATTAAAGTAAGGAAGTTACTTGGGTTCATTTCTTACTGAGAAATAAAATTATGGTGGGTTTTGATGGCTGTAGATTTCTAAATAAACAGCCAAACATCTTTTCTCTGATCTCTTTCTCGAGTGTTGGCCCAAGTGTGAGGGAAAGAAAAGCAAAACCATCCTGAAAAAGTGAAGCAGCCAGCACTAGGTATCGATATAGCAAATACCAGCCCTGTGCCCACTCACTGCCCCGCTGCTTTAGACCTAGCAGACTCTAGCAGACAGGAAACGTGTTTGGTTTTTTTTTAGATAAAAAACTAAGACACAGAAACAGACTGAAAGTTCCCAAGTTAAAGAGACAATAACAGAATAAGAAACTCCTCAGAAATGTTTAACATTATAATAATAATGACTTAAGACTTGATTATAAAGTATTTCAGAATAAACAGCCTAAGCCACTACATGCAGTCTTCTCCGGAGGTAAATTCCCCAGAGAAACACTCCAAGCTAAGATGCTCCTTAACAACAGATGGCAGTTACACCATGATGGGTGAGGGTGGGCCAGTGTGTACTGCCCCTCTTGCATAACACCACAAATAACACTTCTTAGACCTGTATTTTAGAAAGTAAATAAAACCCCAGATCCCTCTCATGCAAATTTGTATTAACATTTGAAATTAGATGTTGTTTTTACAATAGAAGCAAGAACATTTAACCAGTAAGTTAATAAAAAAGCTATTTGAGCAATGTTACTTACTATAAAAAGTTTTATATTTTGCAGGCAAGTAGTGAACATTTGGTAACATTTTTTATCCTCAATGAGGCGTTATCACAACACAAAGGGACACATGTTCTGTTGAGGTTTCAGCCAGGTAAAATGCTGAACAACTCTCACAAACTTTCATTAAAGATTTTGCAATAAGAAAGGACTACTTTTTTTTTTTTTTTTGGAAAGGCCATAGAACAGTCTTGGTTTTTATTTTTCGAAAGCTTTCTTCATCCTCTTGTGTGCAACATTGTCAGATATGTAAACCAGCCTGATAGGACTTTACTGCCATTAAATAATTCTGTAGTGTGTAAATTTAGAGCATTCTGAACTCTCTGCTCTCCTACAAGGCACACGAATGATAATTGATAATCAACTGCAAATGTATTCCCTCCTTTTACCATGGGTTCATTACAGTTTGGTTTGGTTTGAAGCATTTCTCTTTTTTCTCTTTTGGTTTGCGAAAAAGAAAACTGATGACAATCAATGTCATTAATGTCAAATGCCTTTAAAAAACAAAACAAAACAACAACAACCAAAAAAAAGAAAACAAATAAAAAAACATCTTTCTGAATTTACTTACAACAATGTGTGCTGGAGATGGAGACCTAGCATCCTTGAGGGCTTGTCTACTCTGAAGGCTCCCTGCCTGAACATCAAGCAGTGGCCATTTCATCTGCAGATACTGGATGGAGGAAACAAAAATGGGGAAAGAAAAATGAGTTCAGAAAAGAAAGGCAAAAAAAAATAAAAAAATAACAAGTCTCAGGTAACATGAGTAAAAAGGTATAAATTAAAACTTATGCAAGGAACTGAAACAAAAATTAAGACGACTTTGCATGTTTGTGGAGACAAAACCTGTGCAGAACACTAACAATTTCATACCACTACATTACAGTTCAGGAATAAGCAAATAACAAATTGCAAAGACAGTATTACATTGATTTTATTAATCATAGCAAATCTAGAAGAATAAAACCCACACAGAACAAAATACTCAAAACCATGGAGAGGATGGAACAAGGGAGGGAAAGGTGGATTATCAGTCTCAGGAGAGCAAAAACATGTATTGTGTGTTAAGAATATGATCTCATTATTTAATGGGTCATCTGTCAGCCTTCTTTCAACAAATGTACCATGTCAACTCCTCCAGCATTCCTTTTTACTGTACAAGTTCTTAAAGGCAGAGGTCTACCCAAAAAGACCCCATGCTGCTGAGTCTTAGGCTCTGTTTTCTCTACTTTTCACCATTTCTGGAAGTTACCATAGATTATTTTCTTCTTGGTTGTTATCACCAGGAGGAGATCTTCTATTGGACAACCCTTAAGGGACTTGCACAGTGTAACTTATTCAATTACAAGGCCAAACTTAATAAGCTTCCCTGCTGATGATGTCCAAGACACAGTACAGCCTGGTGCAGTCAGGCTCAGCTGTGCTGGCCAGGCATGGGGGATAGCCACAACTTCTTTATGTCACTGTCATCGGCAGAAAGGCTGCAGCATAAGAAGGGGTTGACTCAAAAGCAAAAAAAAAACCAAAAACTTAACTACATTTGAAGGAGCAGAATGTTCCCACGGATTTAACCAGCATCAAATATCGACTGAACCTCCTGCTCTCAGGCATGTGCGTACTCTCACTAAACTCACTGGAGGAGCCATGCACCCCAGCCAGATCGCACATCAGAGCTCAAGGCTTACACCAAACAGGTGAAGTTTTGAGCTGGTACTGAGATTGCTGCATCAGAAGTGACCAAAACAGCCCCGCAGAGAAATTAAGTTAGCCCAAATACTCCTCTGCACAGCGCATCTAAATACAATTTCAGCCCAAGCTTTTCTCTCTACATGGTGCTTCACGGTGCCAAATAGCCACACTGGTTAATGCACGATCTCGAAAAGCCCTGTACCATGCTGGAAGAAATGTGTGCTGCCACACACCCTCAGCCCCCTCCCAGAAATAAGAAAAGTAGCTGTACACATAGATCAGGCCACTGTAGAAGATCCTATTTAGCCCTAGATTCTGGTTGACCTAACAGATCTATTCCTAGAAAATATCGACAGAAACAGTTAAGTTTGCCCATTCCAAATTTTTTGTTTATTTTTTTTTTTTAAGAGTAATCTTAAGGAACCACACACAAACAACCCCCGTCGCCCCAGGCGAATGATGGAAACTGTATCTAAATCTCCATGAAGGAAGGAAGGAGATCTGGTTCCATGCTTTCAGCACATCACTATCACATTTGCTCACGTATGCAAAACATTTGCTAGCATGCAAGGCCTGTTTGCTACAAGACCCTGGGCACCAAGGTGACCAAAAGCAGGAGTCATCAGCAGGATGCATTACCAATTCCCATCGCTTGGAGGGCCTGAGATTTCTAAGCTGCTGGAATGCAAATAAACAAACCCATACTCTGGATTTCTTCCCCATATGAGTTCCTCAGGTTCCAAGAAGTCTTGTTTTTATTCATCTTCACATTTGGGATTTGTGCAATGTGCACCAGAATGTTTAAGCACTTCTTAAAAACAAGAAATAAAACCCAAACAAACCAGAACTAGCCTACCATAAGCGACATTACTAACTCTTACAACTTGATTGTAAGCCTCCAGATATTTGATCGCTTGCATCAAATCCCTGCTCTTCAAAATAGGTGACCACAACATAAATTCTAAAGTTGAGATGATGTTAAAGCAACTTTCTAACCCTTTGTGGTTTCCAGAAAGCGCTTAAAAATGCAACCCAAGAGCACAGAAAAAGGAACCCAAAACCTAAGCTGAGCAAGAGCTTCTCAACTTGAGGGGAAATTTAATACATTTCAGATTGGCAGATGGCACTATTAAACAAGTCAACCACTGCAGTTTGAGAGTCCATCGGTTGACTTAGACAGTGAATGTAACCCCACCACAGAAGGGGGCATATGAATTTGCAGAAAGGTTCCTGATGGGTTGCAGCAGCTATCAGCTTCCCCAGGCTTTGCAGCCAGCTACTGAAGTATTTTTCCCTTATTCCATGGAAAACATCCTCACAGGATGTGTGCCACACAGCATACAGATCTGTTTCAAACTCCCCAACCATTTTAGAGTAAGACGTTACTGCTATCACAGCTAAAGCTCTTGTAAGAAACTGCCAGCCCAACTGGTGGCCTTTCAGAAAACATCCACTAAGCTGTTACCCACTAAAATAAACCAACCACCCTCATTTTTCCATGACCATTCCATGGTCACAAGCAACTGTGGAATATTCCTATAATGATGAAAACCATGTAGGAGCTCAGGTCAGCAGCTGTTCTAAAAGACAGATCAAGAAATGTGTAGGCTTCTCAGGCCTGTCCATTTTTGCTGGTTCTAATAGCAGTAAATTCCCTTAAAAGACCAAGGAAGGCTGAGGAGTTGCTGCTCCACTTTTACCTCACAAGAGCCTGTATTTTTGGTGTGGGTGCCCTCACACCAGGCTGACCAGCCTAATGCAAGATGACAGTTTCAGAAGACATTACTGCTACTTTGCTCCTCTCCTTTTAAAACCCTTAGTTTAGCCTCCACTAAAGTCCTTCTCTTACCCTTCTCTGACAAAGAGGATCCAAGAAGTCATAAAGTACAAAGGCTAAAATGCAGCCAAAGCTGATTCTGCCCTTGGACATGCACATGGAGACCAGCAAGAATGGTCCAAACACAGAAGGCCCAGCTTTGCACATAAGCACACACACAGACAGCTTCCGTTTCCACCAGTGTGTAACACACTAGTTAAGGAAAAAACAAAATGAAATAAACAGCCCTCACAGAAAGCAGTAACACGCAAGGGTCAATAAAACAACTTCCACGAGCTCTACCAAGTGGCCAGGCTCCAGAGCAGCATCCATGGCCCCGCCAAGGGCGAGATGTTCTGTCCGCCAGATAAACAGAGAGGGCCAGAGCCCGCAGCCAATGCTTGCGTCAAGCTAACGAACCCACAGACTCAATAGTGGGATGTTTGCAAAAGAAAAAAAGTCTAATTTGCTGGCTTCAGAACACCAGCCCTGTTGATAAAATATGAAATATTAGCATTGTTTAAGGTGACGAGCCTGACTCAAGGCCTCTTCATCCAAGAATTGTCATGCCTGTAACACAATATTGATGTGGTGGCTTATAATTCTTACTTTACATAAAAGCTTCATTGTGTGCCAAATTCAATCTCCACAGGCTACCTGAGCCACAGATTTTTACGAGTCTACATTTCAGCGCTGCGAGCCTACAATACACATAATTTTCAATTATGTTAGGGCAGAACAGGATCACTGCCTATATAACATTACTGGTTGGAGGAAATGAGACTCAGCCCTACTGCCGAGAGAGCTAACTGGATCCAGATGGCGGGCCGAGCGAGGCAGCCGTCCGAGGGAGCGACGTCGCAGCAGCCGCCCCCTCCACAACTCTCTCTTTCACCATGTGGAAGGAGATGCCAAACCATCACCGGGGCTGGGAGCTGGGATGGGAGGATGCTTGGGCAGGGGGGAGCTGCATCATGGCGTGAGGAAGGAGGAGGGGGGAGAGGCGTGATTGCTTTTGCAGGTTTACTATTGCTGCCCTACGCTGAGATATTCTTATTAAAGGGGAGAAAAATTAAGTCCTGTTACAGCGGAGAGGTAAATCCTTTCCTTCCTCGAGCAACTAAATAGCAGGAAATCCTCTTCTCTTGGCCCTAAATGCAGATTTGAGCCAGACGGTTCCTCTGATTTGCAAGGAGTCCGCAAAAATCCGAAGCCGACTTTCCCAGCCTTCTGACACTGCTTTTACATTCCTGCACCGAGATGGGGAGAGGGGGGAAGGGCAGGAGGGAGGGAAGTTCCCACCATCCTGCTCCTGCAAACTGCTGGACACATACTCACTCTTCTCCTGCTTCTGTGTCTCAGTGTGGAAATTAGGACTTGCCTGTACAAACATTGAGCTTTTCAACAAATTAACTCTAACAAATCTGTGCAAATTATTTCAGAGCAAGTCTGTTGAAATGAGCTCTGCTGGCCTGCTTTTAACATTTTTTTAAATAATGTCATCTTGGCCTAAGTATTTTATTCCCTGTTTAACAATATGATCTGATGGGGATCATTAGCATGTGTGTGCTTAAAAAAAAAAAAAAAAAGTTTTATGGCAAGTCTCAGAGAGCTTAAGCAAAATAATTGTTAAGCTCCAGGCCTCTGCACAAAAATTAAAACACGTATGGGGTGAGCGTACTTGAGAGAAACCAAAGCTTTTAAAAAGGCTGTTAAATTGTCAGCACAAGGGAAAAGGCAAATGATTTGAACGGTCCAGATTTTTTTTCTGTAGAAGAAGCAGAAAAAAAAAAAACACAACACCAAAAACCCAAAAACCCCTGCACTCTACTCTCCACTCCTGTGAGCATCACATCCACACCTCCCTTCTGCAACCAGAAAGTCCCACAAAGCACAGACCCACAAAGAGCAGCTCTGCATGCCCACCCCCCCAAATACCACCCAAAACAGCTGCCTTCCTGGGCACCAGCAGGACAAACAGACATCTTTCCCAAATCTCTTTCCAAGAGAGAGCAGAGTTAGTCAAAAGGAGATAAAATTCACATCCAAGACTGCAGGAGTGTGGTGGGAACTCCTACCCACAGCCAGCAGCCATCCTCCATGTCAGGGCCAGGCTCACAGCAGCACAGCCCCAGTGGAAGGGATGGCACCAAGCTCACAGGTGTTTC